ATTTGGTAAAACTTTTGGTAGAATTTTTGGGGCCTCTAGCATTTTTAGTCTTAAAAAACATGAACAATAAACATAAATTTAAAAAATAATGACAAATTACATTGACTCTCTTAAATTTTAGTAACATTTTAGTATAATTATATTAGACTCTCTTAATATTTTTATTCATGTAATACTTAACTCATTATCATTAATAATTCATTAGTATATGAAAAAATAATAATATTGCATTCTCTTTTACATTGCAACGTTTATTTTTTTATTTATCATTATGTCTTTATACAATTTGTATTAGTTTTAGTCTTTTTAACAGCACAAAAAGGAAGGTTACCACCATGGAATTACTAGTTTTTTTTTTTTCTTTCTTTCTTTCTTTCTTTCTTTCTAAATTTAAGGGGAGGTCAATGTAATTTATTCTAGTTCTAGGGCATTCAGTCCAAAAGTCCAAAATTAAAATTTCTTTATCCAAAAATCCAAGTGCTGATTTTCTTTGTCAATAATGACAAACTCTCACAAAATGACCAAAATACCCATACTATATATACACTTCTCTCTCCCGTTCAACCCCATTTCAACAAACCTCTCTCTTACTTCTCTCTTTCTCATTCTTCTCTAATCTCACCACCACCAACACACCCACCGTCAGCCCCAATCACTGTCGACCTTTGCCACTTCCATCACTCTAACTCCGGCAAACACTTCATCGACTTCTTCATCATCATCACAAACACACACACACACACACACACACATACACATACACATTCCTTACCAAAACCCTAGCCTCTACCTCTTCCATAACCGTTGTCGCCGAATTCAAATATGAGACCTTAGATGCAGATCTAACCAAACAATTTCTCTCTCTCTCTCTCTCTCTCTCTCTCTCTAGAGTCTTCATTATTGGAGGTTCAATCGATCATCGTTACCAACAAACAACGATTCAATCACCATTTCATCGGAGATCTAACAGCTCCACCGGCAATGAAAACCGCAGTGGATATCTCTACTCTCTAGATCATTACTTTCTCTCTCTCTCTCTAGATCCGCTGTCGATCTAGAACCACCGTCGCAAGATCCATCGCTTCACTGCCACTGCAGATCCAAAGCCGAGAGGTCCTTGAAGCAACAATGCCGTAAAGACGGCGACGCATGTTGTCTAAAAATAACACCAACTTTGTTCACTCTTGGACCTTTCTTCTCGTTTTCATCATTATTTTCTCTTTACCGATCTTGTTTGGTTTACTAGAAAGCCTCTTGTTAGATTTGCTTCACAGAATGGCTTCAACAGTTGGATTAGCCGTTAATAACCTCTCCAAGCTCGACATCAATGGCGATTGGGCCAACGTAAGAATCATCATCATCAATTGCATACATTTATATATATATATATATGTGTGTGTGTGTGTGTGTGTGTGTGTGTGTGTCTATATGAGTATGTGTAATTTATATTCTGATATCTGTGTTTGTGCTTCAATTGTTGCAGTGTGTGAGGAAACCATCCTACTACTTTCTCAGAAGACAAATTGCATTTTCTGTATATTAGGATACTTTCTCAGAAGACAAATGATATTTATGTTTTTATTTTTTTATTTTAAGATTTGAACTCAGATCTGCATTCAAGGCTTAGATTTGAAAAGTCTTGTTCATGATGATGATGGTGTTGAAGACTTTTCAGAATTTTGAACAGATAGATATGCATGTATGAATGAATGTATATATGTAATTTTCATATATAAGAAATAGACAGATATGTATGTATGAATGTATGTATGAATGTATGTATGTTATTTGCATAGATAAGAAATGACAAATATGGACAATTGGCTTGGTTAATTTCAACAGATAGGAAAAACTAAGATTAGAATTTCAACAGATAGAATTTGACACAGATAAAATTTCAACAAATACAATAAAAATTTCAACAGATAGAATGAACATTTTAATAGATAGATATAAATTTGAACATAAAGTTTAAAAAAAATGTCCTCCAAAATAAACAAAAGTATTTTTCATCAAATTATTTCACATATGGTAGATCTTTCACTAACAAAAAAATATCCGGTAAATCTAATGTCTTATACTATCCTTATATTGGATTTATCACTAATTTTTTCTTTATTCGACAAATATTTTTTAAAATTAAACATAATTAAATTATATGTTTACTATATCCAGTGAATTTAATATTTACATGAATGAAGTCCTAGAAGTTTTTCATCGTTGGTGAAATTTGAGTTAAAGAATACTGTTGGTAGTTAGAACATGCATGAATTTGGTCCGTGTGAAACACTTTGAACTCAGTCAGCGCTTGCATAAGATCGTTGAAAAGTCAAAAAAATAATAATAATAATAATATATATTTTTTATTTTTTTATTTGTGTAAGAATACAATTGATATAAGCATACCGTCATTTAGGGATGGCAATGGGAATAACAACACATGCCGAGAAGGACCTCCAATTTATCTAGGTTGAAAAGTTGATGATTTTCAAATTGACCCCTTAAATTTAACTAAATTGTAGACTACTCCCTGGTGGGAAAGGCCTAACAACCATGTTACATAGCACGGGTCAATGAAAGAAAATAAGGATGTGTTTGATTTAGTTTTGAAATTATGATTTAAGTATGAAATTGTGATTTGAGTGTGGAATTGTGAGTTGAGTTTTAAAAAGTGTTTTGAAGTGAGTTTTTGAATTTTAAATTTTAAAAAGAGTTTTGAGTTGTATTTTGAATTTGAGTTGTATTTTAAATTTTTTGAATCTATTTTTTTAAAATATTAAACAATGTTTAAGAAAATTTTATTTTTTTATTTTAAATATATAATTTTTATTTAGATATTTTTCAATTTTTTATTTTAAATATTTTATTTTATTTTGTAAATATTTTAATTTTTTTTAAATTTTAAGAAAGAATGTAACCATGTAGGAGAGAGAGAGAGAGAGAGAGAGATGGTTGTAATTTATATTCATTTATTTTTAATCTTCCACGTTCTTTTATTATTTTTTTTCAATTACTAAAAATGTATTTGATTATTTTAAAATAAACTTTTAATTAATTAATTAATGTGTATTTGATTTTGTTGTTGAGCCAAATAAAATTGAATGTATATTTAGTTTTGGTTGTGAACCTCAAAAAAAAAAAAGTCAAGTTGGGTTGGGAAAAATCCAAACCCATTAGGAGATGGGGAGGGTAGTAACTATGGAAAATGGGAAATGAGGAATGGGAAAAAATTATTTTAAGGGAATGGGGATGGGGAATTAATATCCACCCCATTAACCCCTATTGTCATCCCTAGTCATTTATATATATATATATATATTTCTCTTGTTATCTCAATTTCTAATTTTTTTTATAACTTCCTCAACAAAATTTCATTTTAACCAAAAGTATTTTTTATTTATTTGGGTAAATTATAAATACTTCTCGAGATTTGTCTAAAATACAGATTGTCGCCCGTAATTTTGAAAATTATATCAGGTCTCTTCAAATTTCTAATAGCATAACAAATAACTCATTTTATTAATAAATCATCAAATCAATTGACAACTTTTAATAATGTCAGAAATATATTTCAATTAACAATTCAAGTAATTTTATTGTTGTATAAGAGAATAGTTAGAATTTTTTTTTTCTATTAATTTTGTTAAATAAAAAGTTATGATAAGAGGGGGATTACAATTTTCAAAATCATAAGGGACAATCCGTATTTTAAGTAACTCTCAAGGTTGTATGTATATATTTACCCTATGTTATTTTCACTTGTGATAATATTTTTCACTCTAATAAAATAAATCCTAAATTTTGTTCTTTTTCAAGTTTTGTTTGGTTTGTGAATTTAGGAATTTAAGGACAAATAATTTTCTAGTAGTGTTTCAGGTCTTCCAACAAACACAGTTAACCATTTTGAACAAAAATAGCTCCCTAATTGTATTTATTTACATTTCAACTTTTTGTAAAATTTATATTTTTAGAATTCAATTGACAAGATCTTTTAAACAAAATACATGAGTAATATGAAATTCTATAAAAACAAATTCATAAAATTTTACTATGTTCATTGTTACGTCACAATGATATTTCTCTGACGTAAACAAGGTGAAATTTCAATGTACAAAGTCAATAAAACATATTGTTTTATACTAGAAAATCTAAAATTGATTGTTAATTGCAAAAATTAAGTACTTAATTCTAACTTCATTACTTAAAAGTTCAAATTGAAGGTTCGAGAATAACAAATTTTAAAATTTTCTATATTAAATCAATAAAATTTCATTGTATATATAGTGAAATTTCACTAACTCTGCATAGTGAAATTTCATTGTGCAAAATCAATGAAAATATTTTTTTGAACTCTAAAAGATTATAAAAAGAAAAAAAATTAAGGGTCAATTGCAAAAGTTAGGTCATTAATTCTAAAAAATTTCACTAGTTGAAGTCAGAATTGCATAAGTTCAAATGAAATTTCACTAGCATTAATAAGAAATTGACAGAGAATTAGTCAGTGAAATTTCACTAATTGAAGCCAGTGCAATTACACAAGTTGGTGAAATTTCATTGACTCAAAGCCAGAGCAAGTCAGAGGCTGAGTCAGTGAAATTTTACTAATTGAAACTGGTGTAATTGCACAAGTTAATGAAATTTTATTGACTAATTTTAGCAAAAATCTAAAATCAATGAACTTAAAAAAATTAAAGACACAAATCAAATAACATAATTAAATCTTTATCAATCAATAACATATAAACCAACTAGATCAGTAGCAGATGAATGGTATTGAAGGGAGAGAGAGAGAGAGAGCAAACAATGAGATCAACTGGATTTGAATCGAAGATAAAAGAATAGTAGTGAGTGGCGATTAATAATAAAGAGAGTCATAGTGAACGACAGTGGAACAACACTAATAGATGCAACAATGGTAGTAGAAGTCGTGGCGATAATGGTTGATATAGTTATGGTGACACCGTAGATACTATGGATTTGAAATCGTTGATCGAAGAGATAGAGAGAGAAAGGGAGACATTATAAATCGAACAGAGAGAGAAAGAGAGAAAGAGGGACATAGAAGAAATCTGAAAGCAAGTGTAAGAGCGAGAGAGAGAGGAAAAAAAAAAAGACATGAAAAAAATTTGGGAAGAAATTTAAAATTTTTATGTTAAAAAAGATATTTTGGACCATATATGTAAAAATTTGTCCTTATCCTTTCATAATTTCAAATTTTAAGGAATTTGACTTTTAAGTTAATTTGTAGTGTCCTCAAACTCTTAAACTTGTAGGGGGTGTCTCGTAATTGTCTTCCGAAAAAATGCATTAAATTGTTTTCCATTTTTTGGTTATCATATAGGTTGCAAATAAAAAATAAACAAAGCAAAGCAAAATATAAAATTTAAATTTAAATATCATTTTTTTCATTTTATTTTTTTCATTTTTAAGATTATTTATGAAAAGATAAAATACAAATAAATTTATATTTTTGTTCATTCCTTTAGCTTTTTCTCCTCCATTTTCACCAGAGTAATATTAGAAATTCATATACTTATATTCATAAATTTACCTACATAACGTGACATGGGAGTTAAGTTCACTATCATTAAATATATATAATAAATTAAAAATTAACATATATTTTATCACATTATTATAAATAAAAGAGAGATTGACTAATAGATCTCAAATTTTGAACTTATAATTTATATAGTCCCATATGTTTTATTGTGATTTATTTAGTTTTTTTGGATGTGTAACGACTCATTTGTCTGCCACGTTGAAATGTCACATTTGAGAAAAGTATATTAAAGAATTTTTAATTTTTTTAGAATGTCGCATCATACCCGCTACGTTGAAATGTTACATATACGTTAGAGTGTCACATGTCACATTTGGAAAAATATATATACTAAAGAGTTTTTATATTTTTTGAAATGTCACATCATTCTTGCCACGTTATTACATTTGGAAAAAGTACATTAAAGAATTTTTGGGTATGTTTGGTTTGTGTTTGAGAGATGTGTTTTAGAGATAAAAAGTACGAAAAGTTGTTTGGTTTGATTTTTTTCAAAAGATGTTTTGAAAAATTATTTTGAGAGAGAGTTTTGGAAAAAGTGATTGATTTGATGTGTGTGAGAGAGAGATTTGTTTGGAAAACTTGTTTGGTTTACAAGTTTTGAGAAAATTTTTTGGGAAAATTTATTTGGTTTGATTACTTTTAAAAACTTATTTGTAGAGAAAATTTTCCAAAATTTTTTCAGAAATACAAACCAAACGAACCCTTTATTTTTTTAGACTGTCACATCATACCCACCACGTTGTCATATTTAGAAAAAAATACACTAAGGAGTTTTTATTTATTTTTTAAATATTACATCAAACCCGTCATGTTGTCACATTTGAAAAAGTATACTATAGAATTTTTATTTTTTTTGGAGTGTCATGTCATACCTGCCACATTGACACATTTGCAAAAAAAAATACACAAAAAAGTTTTTAGTTTTATTGGAGTAAAAGTCTTGGAGTGTTACACTATATCTGCTACGTTGTCACATTTAGAAAAAAATATACTATGGAGTTTTTAATTTTTTTGGAGTGTCACATCGTTAAAGTGTTGCATTAATACCTACTATATTGAAATATCACATAATACTTGTCACATTAATAAAATGATATAATTGTCCACTAAAACATTACTAAAATAAAATTAAAAAAATAGGACTATACGAAAAGAAACTATCCATTAATAGGAGTTAATAAATCAATAAAAAAAA